TATGTATAATAATGAACACACATAATTAGAACTTTAAATGTTAAGGTAGTTTTATATTATTTGGTGTAAATATTTATAATTATATTAAATAAATATAATATAATATAAAACTATATTCACATGATGTCAATCTATCATAATGCGAACGAACAATAATACCATATAGTATTTATCTTAATTTAATTTTTTTTTTAGGTCTTGACCAGTTATTTAATTCATTATCTTTTATCTTTTAAATAATAAGAATAATATATAGTTTTCCATTCAATTATTTAGCACTTTTATTCCCTGATTAAAATGAACTAAATCAATATACTTTAATTAATTTAAATTACGTAAAATAATACCTTCAACGTCTTAAATAAAAAAACTGTTATCATATCGATTGCAACCTATAATCGAATAGAAGTTAATCGTAATAATGTTATAGAAGCATACGATATACAGTTTATACATTCGATAGATAATCATAATATATTACTCATAGGTACTCACCGCCATTTACGAAAAAAATTTAATTAAAATCTTTCAGTTAAATATCAACACTGTCATCTTAAACGTTATAACATTAGAAGTGGCTACAAAGAGAAATAGTGCATCGAGGAAACCCAATAATAGTATCATACATTTTTTTATTTTTGTCCCTTAGTTCTGTATATTATAATCTTAATGTTCCGTATCAGAATAGTATAATTAGTTTTAATAAATAAATTAATATTAGAATTAGTATTTATAATAAATAAATAAATAAATTATAATAGTTTAATAAATTAAATTAAATAATAGAAAAATGTAGTAAATAAATCTATATTTTAAATTTATATGATAATATTTACTGTATGTTTATATAATTAATAAAATATTTTACTATAGCGAAAAATTTAATTTAATTTTTAATATATTAAATATTAGTTTTCAAGTACCCTTGGTACAAGTAGAGTGTTCAAACATTTTGTGAACAAAATTTTGAATAACATGATGTTTATAATATTACAATATAATACTCACCGATTACATAGGTAGTAACTACATATTATTAATTTATATGATATACTATAGATAAATATTAAATAAACGAATAAATTAATATAATATACAACTAGTTATAACTATTTTTAAAGTATACATAAATAGAATATAAATTCAACTTCTGAATAAATCTAATTTTAATCTACTCATTAGCAATATATATTTTGTTCCCTATACATATAAATGTAAAATTTTATAATCGTATATTCGTTACATTTTTCACTTATTATATCAACAATTGGGATTAAATTATCTAAAGAAATAAATTTAATGATTAATTTATATGTAATTAAAATTAAATACATCTTTATGATCATAATCTATAATAACGTATTATAGTGCTATGACGTCAAAGCAACTAAAAAAGATGTCTAAAATGTTTTATTGCCAACTACAATCATATAGAATATTTTTAGAAATATAGCTGCGTTTTTTAATTTTTTAAATTTTTAAATTTTATAGTTTTTCAATAGTATATAAATCAACAGATAGATTTTTAAAGGCAAGTAAAATGTTTTAAAATATTAAATGATATGGTTTTACTCAATTCAAAAATATGAATAGATAATTAAATTTATTTAAAGTAACAGTTTTATCTTCTATCTATCTTATTATGTTTTTCCATTAAAATTATTTGTTGTAGTATTTGAACTTCTTAATTTCTGAAAGAAATAAAAATAATTTGTCTGAAAATATAATTTAAAAAAATATTTATAAAAAGCCGGTAAGTTAACGATAGTGGAAGTTCATTCTTAGTCCTCGGGGATGGATAATGGTAATGAGTGTATTGAATTTAGATGCAATCATAACTAATTTCTTTTGTGAAACGATTTTGAACAGAGATTCAGTATAAAAATCTACTGTTTATATATTTTACAGTTTTTAGCCTAATTTTCGGTAGGTTCTCTTTTTATCAGCCTGTTTAACATTTTCTAGTTCGACAAAAGAAAATATTTATAACCAAATATTCAAAACATGTTGTTCTATCTGTATCCAACATTCCATTATGATTAGATAGACTAATTAATTTGAATATATATTTTAAGTTGAAAATTAATGTAAAAACATTAAATTCTGTAAAAATTGTATAATAATTTATTCAAACGTTTATAACATACAATTTTGACTACAGATTTTTGAACAATTTTCAGTATCGTAAATTAAGTATATGAGTAAAGCGATATTAAATTTTGAAGTCTAAATATACAAAAATTAAAATGTTATTACATAAAATATTTCAAAAAATTAGGTATTTTCAACGTTCTATATTTAAACAAAAAGTACTTGCCCTTTTTTAAATAATGAAAAAATATGTCTTTGATATAGGATAAAAGTTTATAGTTTCTAGCCACATTACTTTTGGAGTTATAAGTAAATAACTAAAATATGAAAAATGAAAGTCTCTTTTATTGCGTATTTTATTCAAAATCTAAAATATAAGTGTAAAAACATAATTCCAATTATAAGTATAAGGTATAATATTTTTTCAATTAAACTTATATTGATTGTAACTTATGCACTTAAGGTGTGATAAAATAAGACTTTTAAATATTAAAACTATCTAAAAAATAATGTAATATTCAAAATTAATTATTTGGTCAGCAATTTTTAAATCAGAATAATATTTATAAATACTTTACCTACGAACATTTTACGAATAATTAATATCCAAAAAAAACTAAAATTAAGATAATAAGATATATTTTTTTCGTTCATTAATTATTGCTGTACTAGTTATTATATTTTGTTTATAGTAAATAGAATAGTATATAATTTTGTTTATAGATTGGTATAATATTATCAAACATAAATACAATATCTTAAAAAAATTTTTATGGTTGTGTCCGAAATTTCTAATAAACTAAAACCTAATAAAATATTTATTCATGAAAAAATCATTTAGTACTTAGGAAGTAGTAGTTATATGGTTATTTCATAAATTATAATTGATCGAAATACATAAGATTATTGTGGAATAATTCTACACAATAAGAAATATAAATGGTTAATGTTCTGTAAAAACAAGAATTTACTTTTTAATTAAAAATAATAATCTATATTATTCTATGAAAAAAGTAAAAATGATTACGGTTAATATTCAATAGCAAATTGAATGCAAGATAAAAGCATTGACTTATTGTTAACACATTAATTTATTTGAAAAAAAAAATTTGACACTAAATAACTAAAATGTGTATTCTTATAAAACGAATAAAAAACTAAATAACAATCATTTTTTGGGAACGAATAATTATGACATAATTTAATTAAATATAAAGAAATGTATAAACTTAAGTTAATGGTGTTGAACGATGGAATTGAAAAAAACAAATTAACTCGATGAAGCTGAAGACAAAAATATAATAAAGAAAACCGTGTAAATGTATTCAGTGAGAGTTCAATATAATGGAATTGAATTTCTATATTTAAGATTTCTGTTTTGCTTGGTTTAACTCATCAAGGTGAACTCGTTATCTCGTACTATGTGTAAACTCACAGTGATTATCACACAATATGCATTAAAAAGAAGAATTATTACATAGATCAATAATTTTAACTAAAATAGACCTGTTTTTCAAAACTTTCATGAATAATAATTTAAAGAATTGTTTTTTTTTTATTACATTACATTTTTTATATTAAAATAATATATTTTTTGAGTATTCTTTTTTTACTCATACAAACTGACCGTCTATTGAAATACTAAATCTATTGACAACAGATAACACACATATTTTATTATCAGTTTTTGTTTACTTTTATAAAATTGAACAAAATTAATTTTGTAATATTTTATAATTATATTTTTTTTATAATTTCTTCTATTATGAGTACTCGACAATATTTTTATTTAACATTTTATGACAATGGTATTTTTAAGCTATAATTTTTATAATTTAAAATTTAACATTATTTTCCCAAACTATATAAAAATAATAATAGTAATTAGAATTTCGTTTTTAACATGTACACACTATAACTATTATTTTATTATATATGAGACTAATTCACTATATAAATTTGCTATATAATTATGTGAATAAAATATATTTATGTCGTATCTACATGTATAAATTATACAATTAAGTTTAAGTCACTGGATTGCATTTTTAATTTGTACCTAATGTTATTGCGTTAACATATTTTTCAGTTCAAATTATTTCATTCTACGTAATTTAAAAAGTTGAAACTAAGATTTTCTGATCGATTTTCCCGAGCGTGATACCATTTTAAGGTGTGACGATGAAGTTGAATATCATTTTGGATTTGAGCTTGACAACATTTGAACGTGGTTTTTTTTATCTAAAAATAAATCTCATATTTCAAGTATTGATTTTAATTGCTCAATGTTTTTTGTATTGACTACAGCAGAGATTCTCAAACTTTTATAAACACTGTAACCCTTTTTATCAATAAATTTTTTTGGGTACCCCTTCTTAGTTACTAAATTAAAATATATATAAAAAAATTTAAAGACTTACATAAATTATTATTTCATTAATATTAAGTTACGAAGTACCTCAACTGGGAGGCCTTTCATTCCGTCATTTCCTGTTATTTCATTTATTATATCACTTAAGCTTATTGTTCTACATGTAACAGATTGCTGAATTAAAAAAAAAAAAAAAAAAAGATTAAGTTATTAAATACCAATATACAAAAAATTTTAAAAACTATAAGCGTTTATTTTCAAAGAAATGAGTGAGTTGGGTGAGCTTGTTTCTGTTGGCACAGTTTATCAATATTGGGTTCTAATTTAGTTAAATACAATCTTAAATCATCTTCTACATTTAATTTATTTCTATATTTACATTTAACATAAGTTAAACTTGAAAAACCTCTTTCACATAAATAAGTGGTGGAAAATCTAACTAGAAATTTGATAGCAGTACTAGACAGTTCTTTTTGTTCTTTTCCAACACAGATCCAAAAATCTAACAATGTAGTACCCAAATTTAAGAATTTGTTTTTCATCCAGGGATCACACGAGACTTCAATGAGCTGCTCCTTTTCAAAGTAGTCAGTTTAGTGTCTGTAGCATCAACATCAAAGGGATCACGTATCCAGTCATATTGTTTCTCCAAAGGCGGAAAATACTCTCTTATACGGATCTTCAGTGCATTCAAGTGCTGGACCATTTGAGTCTTGAGTTCAGTAAAATTACATAAATTTTTCTTATTATCTTGCAAAAATATATTCAATCTTACAAACGACTCACAGTTTTTTTTTTTTTGTATTTATTTTTCCCAGAGAGTGATTTTTTTAATCATTGTATTGGTTTTTTTTCTACATGTAAAATATCAGAAATACTGTCCTACATGTATAAATTCCAGATGTTGAGTTTTTCAAAAATATCACTTAAATAAGCGCCAATTTTAAAAGCCAATTAAATCCATTAATTACTGAAGAAAAATGCGATTTGTGTTCTGTTAAAAAAATATGCAATTCTTCGCGGAGTTCAAACACACAGGACAAAACGTTTCCCCGTGATAGCCATCGTACTACAGTGTGAAGCAATAAATTTTCATGAAGGCTCCCCATATCCTGACATAGAATTTTCAAGTAGCAAGATTTTTGAGGCCTAGTTTTAATGAAGTTTACAATTTTTACACTCTGATCAAGGACTTCTTTAAGTTCCTCAGAGAGGTGCTTAGCTGCCAAAGCCTCTTGGTGAAGAACACAATGAGTGAACTTACACTCAGCTGAAACTTTTTTAATATGGCCTACCAGCTCTGTGATGTGACCACTCATAACCTTGGAACCATCCATACACATTGACACACAATTTTTCCATTCAAGCTGGTGTTCAGAAAAAAAAGAATTTAGCAATTTGAAAATATCTTCACCTTTTGTAGACGTTTTTAAGTGTCTTACAAAATAAAAGATCTTCAAATATTTCATCTTGGAATATACCACGAATGAAAACGATCAGTTAGCCTAGGCCAGCGACATCCGTGCTTTCGTCGAGTTGTATCCCAAAGCAAGGGCTACCTCGAATTCTTCGAACAAGTTGTTCTTTTGTGTCATACGCCATATCATTAATTCTCCTTGAAACTGTATCATTTGATAATGGAATTTTTTTAATTATTTTTGCCTCTTTTTCTCCAAACATGCAAGAAACAATTTCTACTGCGGCTGGAAGGATTAAGTTTTCGCCAATAGTGTGGTTTTTCTCAGACTTTGCGATCAAATGACTTACTTTGTAAGAAGCTTTTAGTGCATTTTCATTTTGTTCTGCACCAAAAAACTGTTTTATATTGTTTTTCCTATTTTTAAGATCTTCTAAAAGACGTTCAAAGTACTGTAACTCTTTATTTACTACATTTTTATGTTTACTTTCTAAATGGCGTTTTAAAAATGATGGTTTCATAGAATTGTTTGATAATATTTCAGAACAAACAACGCCCTGTAGATTAGGCTCGTCCAAGCTTCCAGTCCAAGTAAAACCTAATTTTAAATAAAACCCGTCATATTTCCTTTTTTTAGTTTTAGAAACATTTATCAGCTTTTCGAGTTTTTTTTTTCAGAATTTTGATCATCATCCTCACGAGGTCTTTTATTTATGAGCCATTTATTCATTGTTAATTTTTATTATAAATTATATAATTAAAATAATTATTTAATTTATATACAATATTATATAATTACAATATTATATTTAAGTACCCACTATAGAGTCAACAAGCCTGAACAATTGTATGAATAGGATTGAGTATCCGCATAACAACACAGAACAACACGCAACACAATATTGTGAGCGAGCTTGTAATAACAGGCAATACCTACTACTGTAGTGATACAGCTTATGCCGATATTTCACCGCCGTAGACGAACTGCGTTGGTTTGAGCATTCCCACAAGATAACCCGTGTCAATAGAACAAGTATATGTCTTATTTTTATTTGTGTGCATTCGTACACACGTACCAGTTAATCGCTAATAAAATCGTTAATCGCGATAAGAAAATAATGCACACATACGCGTGTCGTTCGCGGTAACGACGCAAGATATTATATCCGAGCGTAGACGCACCACGCGCATGACACCTAGTTTAACGTAGCGCTTTTATAATTATATATTCTACTGTCTCCTACTATACTTGGTATAACGATACCACGCTTACTCAATCAATGACAAATGAAACAGTTAGATACGCCATCTTAATTTAAAATTCACAAATGTTACCTTTTTTAGAATTTTTTTCTCTATTTTAATTTAAAGGTTTGTTGGTCAGACTTGTTCCCCTTAAAAAATTTCGAGTACCCCCAAGGGGTACCCGTACCACAGTTTGAGAAACACTGGACTACAGTAAACGTATCGGTATTAAATATTTTTAAAATACAACAGCTAGTATAAACACTGATAAATAAAGTCTTTACTATACATATCTGTTACATTATATATTATATTTATAAAGCTGATATACCTTCTTGAGAACGTACATCATATAAATTATTCTTATTATTATTCAGAATAACTTTGTAATATAATATTGGAATATTGTTTATAAATAACTTACATACATCCTGTATACATTGTATTACAAAGTTTTGATATTTTTCATTATCCCTGAAAGTTTTATATTTTCGAGCATCAAATCAATATTGTAACATGAAATAATGAATATAACAATATATACTGCAAAGAGTATTATTGAAAACGTATTTTAAATATATATTGCAGCAAACACCATTATTAAAATAAACTGTTTCATATTTTACGTTGAAAACATATGTTTATTGTTCAATATTTTTTTAAGTTTCTTGAAAAATATATCGAGGAAATGTATATTAAATGCTTAGAAGTTATAACTAATAAATATCATTTTTTTTTTCATGTTTTCGTTACGTCAACAAATTTGTAATTTAAAACTATTTGTAGTTTATTAAAAAATTATAAAAATCTCGTAGCATTGTTTTAAAAATGGATTCCATATGATTGAACAATTTTCGTTTAGTTTGATAAACTAATAACAATAACAAAATTATTTGTTACTCGGGTAAAACAGTTTCATTTTCCTTTCACTTTTTTTTTTTTTTACCGTATTCGAGAAACTTATTTGAGAGCTTATTTATTGGAACACTAACGTTTTAAACAGTTGTGTAAGAAATAACATTATCTGTACATTCTATTGATATAATTATTGGTAGTACTGGCTTTGTGCGTACCGAACGAAGCTTAATGTTTACATTTTAAAATGATTCCTTTCTGAACAAACGCGACAATTGTCCGAAAATAGGTGCTACATCGATGTTTGTAACATAATTGTTATTGTTCATCTATCAATGCACCTATCGCTCAAATGGAAGAATCGAATTTCGAATAAAAAAATGTAATATATTCGGCAGCGGTGCAGTGTGATGAAGGTGTGTTGAATAGTTTTGACGAACCGAAGGAATTGAACCGTGGTTCGGACAGTAGGTAATAAGTAAGAGTTTGGGCTGCGGAAAAACGAATACAATAATAACGTAAGATGGGTTGTGAAACACGGTCAGTACCTCGGTGTCGTGGCCCTGACCACTAAGTTAAGGTAAGGGTGGGACGGGGATAAGGGGGGAGAACTGAGAAACCGTAAATACATATACGTATATGAATAAATGCAAGAAGGTCCTTGTCCCTTTTGAGGGTGCAGTGCGACGCGGCGCAGCTGTTGTGGAGCTATTACGCGCGCGCGTACAATATTATTATAACATCATTGTTTTGTTTGTACACCGTGTGTCACGCAAAACGAGTGAAACGTAACGCGCGGCCGCGGGTACGGTTTTGTTTGTTTTTCCCATTCGCACGGCACTGCGCATTTTCCCGGACGTTATTACGTTTACATTGTGCTCTCGGGGATTGCGTATCGTCGCCGTACGGACGCGAACCGGGCGGGCAATCGGAACAACGTCGCGCGATACGGCTTCTACCGTACGACACGCGGTGACGGCGAGCGAGTCGGCGGTGGTCGGACGGGCTGAGCGGCGCGCAGGAAGCCGCGGCGGAACCGCGAACAGAAACTCGCACGCACGCGCGCGCGCTCGCGCACCTCTCACACTGACAGAGTGCTGTTTACACGTGCGCGCACACACACGCGCGCGCGCGGTGCGGATTCCTCCTAAAATAATAATAATTCAACGCGTACGACATTGCGGCGGCGGCTCGTTGTCGTCGCCCCACTGCAGCTGCCAGCCACGGTTCGCCCGCCCGGTGTACACTACGCATCCGCCACTCGGCGGGTTTGTTGAACTTCCGCGGGCAAGGCGCGCGCCGACCTCTTGGCGCGCAGGCACGGCACGCACGTGGAAACTCCACCGGTACGTGTGTGCAATAAAATTACCGTGAGCCGGGCGCGCGTGGTGCCGCCGCCGAACGCAACAACATTGTAACGTTCACTGATAATATTTTTCGTGCGCCCGACGTTGTTCCTATGGCGGCGGCGGCGTACGAACCTACGGAGGATTATAATACTATAATGTTATACAACGACTCGTCGTTATTATTATTATATTATCGTCGTTATTGTTATTTAGTTATTTTCGGCCATACGCTGTTACAACATCGGTACCATCGACGTGCACCTCTCTCCTCTCACTAGCTCTCTTTCACTCATTCTTTCTCTTTCTCTCGCTCTCTCTCTCTCTTTATCTCCGCTACCGGTCACGTGGTGGGTTTATAAAACCGTCCTTGGGTTCGGTTGGCCGGTGCCCACTCGCACTACACTTGGTTCATCGAACCTAGGTCGTCCCGGCGCTCTTACCGTCTTTCATACGCATGCACTTCTGTACTGGCGAGCTCGCGATATACGCGCACTACGCATTATACGTGCACGTACGCGTAGAATAGAACAATACATGTCTTTTTGTACGTACCACCACCACCGCAATACACGTGCAACGTACACGTGTCACCGCGTCCACCCACCCACCAATGCGTAGCACCGAGTGCGAGGGTCAACAGCCCTTCGCGAGCGCACCAAAAGCGCCGTGTGCAAGACCCTCCGTAGGGTTCGGGTCGGATATTGTGTATCGTATACGCTTGTATACATATATATAATTATACCCGGACGTTTACACGCACACGCGTGCACGCAGTACACGTATACACGCACACGCACTCGGCACCGCTGCTGCTGCTGCTGCTTTGCGATCTTCGAGAGAGGTACATGACCTTCTTGGGGTCGCGTAGGACGCGCATGCGCCGAGCCGTGTGCACACGAACAGCGGGGTGAATTCTTCGTTTTCACTTTTCACGTCGCCTTGTCCGTGAACAATGCGCCTACGCTGTATACGCACGTATATTTTTATTGTGTATTATTATTATTATTATTACGTTTACACAATCGTCGTCAGAAGACGAGTAGCTGGCTGGACAAATCGTTTTTTATCTTATCTGTTTATTACACAGCAAAACACTTGTAATCTGACACACGCGCGCGCGTCTATATATATACATATTAATAGATTGCATTATTGTTATTATATTTATAGTATGTGGTGGACGAGCCTATTTAAATACACGGCCGTAAAGCAGTGAAAAAAACCAGATGTGATGTTTTAGATTTTTACACTTCCAAACGAGGTTTTTGACCTCGTCAGTGTTAACGCAGAGAAGAGGTTATCTTTATACGTAAATACGTTTCTTCGGCGTAGACGTCGATTACGCGGTGTCGGTTTTAATAGACGTATCGCGCGTACCGTTTGTCTTTTCGATTTCATTTTATTTTTATTTTATCATCATCCGCGATTCATATACATTTCAACAGTTCCATACACACAGCGATATAACCTATGACAACGTCACATTCATCATAGGTTTGGAAATACTTCGAATTTGTTGGTCAAAAACTACAATGTATTCTCCATTGTTCTTTGACCGCACTCGCATGCACGTTACGACAACGTCAACAACAACAATAATATA